GTATGCAATCCCACCCCGAAGCACTTTCTGAGTCAAGTGATCCAAGTATGCTATCCACTTCTGCCGGATCTGTCTCCAGTAGGACGAACGAGTTAATTTGAGATAGTGAATTTAAGTAAGTGACAGATCTAGATGCTTGTCCAGTTAGGGTTATGATTTCATCCGCAAGTTTTTTCTTAATAGTTGCGAAGAATTGGTTTACACGGTTTAAAGAGTCAAGAGGATGTGGTGTGATATGCAGTAGGTGTATACTAGACGCCTTGGGTTTTTTATAATGTGTAATGTCATTAATTTTACGCCAGAGTAGTTAAGGATTTTATTTAAAATCTTTTTGATTTAAAATCTGATTTTTATGATACTGTCGTTTGAGTTTTTTAATAAGATTAGAACAATATGTGCGAAAACGCCTGTAAGTTATAATCAATATAACGTTAAAAGGGTCTTTTCTCTTTTGTAGCTGCAATTTATTTCTAAACCTAATACATCTTAGGGCGCCCATAGTTATCCAGGGCTTTAAAGTTCGCTTGGAGCTGGACACTGAGACAACTTTAGTGTTTTGGAGGAGGGATGTCCTAATCAAGCCTATCATCGAGTCAGCTAGAATGTTTGGGTCTCTATGTGCACTAAGAAAAGATATATCTATATCCACAAGGTGCTTATACGTATTCTCCCAGTTTGCTATGGTTTTATATTTGACACAAGCCTTGTTTTCGTGTTTGTGGGATATATTTAATAATACCATTGCATGATCCGTAACAGACGTGTTTAGGACAGCCACAAAAGCCGAGTTATTTAATTTGTCTAGCTTAAGGAGCATGTGATCTAGGCAGTTCTCTTCCCTTGTAGGCAAACAGTGTCCTGGGAGGAAACCATGTATAGCCGTCATATTTAAATACGTTAATCTGCTAGTTCTCATTTGTGCTGATTCTGACGGCTTTCCTATTAGGTTAATATTTATGTCTCCAGTAATAATGGTGTTTCTACGTGTGTGAATACTTTGAAGGTACTGATCAAATGAGTGAATAAAAGTTTCAGTGGATACATTCGACGGAGACCGATAGATACCAATAATGGTAAAATTTGGAATATTTATTTCCAAGGCGGATGCATGTGTTAAATTGATTTCAGTTACCTGAGGTAAGTGGCAGTTTTTTTTATAGGCTACTACGCCGTCATTTTGGTTTATTTGCCTAAATGTATTAAACGAAGTATAGTTGTTTAACACTGGTAGAGGTTTATTAGTGTTTAATCTGCATTCTGTTAGGATTAGCACATCTACCTCGACTCCGATTTGAGACAGAGTTATCTGAAAATCGTCGAAGTTACTGTAAATGCTCCTTATGTTTTGTGTCAAGACAGTCATGTTATTAAAATCTCGTTGTAGGTATGTATGTAAATGTGCAATATCAAGAATAGCAGAATTAGCTATCTCAGTTGTATCTAATTCCTGTAAATTACATAAGTTACTATCCATTATTAATTAGAGTGACAAAAGGTGATTCTAAATTTTGAACAATATTTTTTTCAGTAATCTGACGACTTTTTCTGTATTTAATTATATGCGTGTAAATTGGTATATCAAAACATACTATATTAGGCACTGTGAAGAATAAGTGTGGGTGTGGGCATATTGAGTGAGTTTGTTGTTTTTGTTTTATGATACGGAGTGTTCGAAGCAAAGTGTTTGTGTGTGTAACAGCGAGCTGAGCATGCTTACAATGGTAATTAAAGTAGTTTAAAATATATCTGTATTGATTAAAATTAAACAAAACATTATTTATACTAATAGAAAAAGGCAACGTTATTAGTACTAAGAATATTTTATTGATTGTGACAGTACATACTAGTCATGCTTCTTGCATCAGCTGTTGTACCTGGGCCTCACTTTTGATGGCAATTACTCGAGAATTTTCATCTTTTTTTACTAAAATACGACCAAATGCTGTCCAACAAAATTTATATTTTTTAGTTTTAGCCAAATCTCGGGCTAAGAAAAATAGTCGGGCGCCCTTAGGAGTTAATTGCTCAGATATAAACACAGGTACATCGGCGTCTTTTGTTATCCCAAGATGCTTTGCTTGAAGTTTACTTGTGTTTTTAATATTAAATGACTTTACCTTCTTTAGTAAGTTAGTCTTTAACATAGTGGAGTTCAATTCCACAATTATAGGAGTATTTGTTATACCTTCTTTCCTACTGGGCAGTCGATAAATGTCTTTTAAGTCACGTGAGTCCATCTCCAGATTTAGATGTGTAGATAGTTTCATGATCATATTTATTAAATCAGAGTTATTTTCCTGAGGCAGTTTAGGGACGTTCTTTATTTCAATGCAAGTTTTCTTATGGCTCCTTTGTAAGTCTTCGATTTTATCCTCTAACAAAACAATGTATTCACGGTCCTTTTTACCTTGTAACTCAAGCAGTTCAATTTTCTTACGGAATTCCTCATTTTGGCAAGATAAGTTAGTAATGGCGGTCTCAATGTTATTGTTTGTTATCTGAATATCCTTGAGATTTGAGGTAATTACTTTTAATTCACTTTGTTGGGTTGAGATAAAGGAAGCTAACATTTCTTTGATTTCATTCTTGAATTGAGTAAATTCCCCTGGTAGGTCTTCTTCCCTTGCTCTCTTTTTACGCATAGAAATAAGATTAGTAGGAGTCTTGTCCATATTTACACTGATATTTGAATCAGAGATATGTCAAAATTTTTCACTGTCAAAAGCTACGTATATTTATATTATTTTGTTATTTGGAGGCCAATTCTGGCTTACAAATTTCAACAAAAAGATCAGAAAATATATAAGAGAGTTGTTATAACAATAATTTTTTGATTTCAGACACAATACTAATTAATAAAGGAAAATATTTCTGCTGCGCCGTTGACAACTGTCGAATTTATATTATTATTTATATTATTTATATCTATTAAATTAATTCTATCATTATAATTGTAACAATTAAATGTCAAGTTTAAATTATTATTACATGAAAAGTTATTCATTAATAAATTTAAATCATATCTTATTTTATTTTCCTGCGGCCAACCCTGTATGTAAGGCAATGTAAACAAGATAATTTTGGAGACCCTGCAAAAATTTGGAAGTTTCTCAGATCAATAGGAGTTGGAAAATCTAAAGAATCCACTATTTCGAATGAAGACGTTGATATTGAATCACTAAATCAACATTTCTCATGTACATCTTCATTTTTAAATGATAATATAAAATCATATACTTTAAACAATCTGTCTAAAGCATCAACTCCTAATTTCTCGCCGTTTACCTTCAATCAATTTTCCGACTGTGATGTTAAGAAGAACGTTTTGTCCATATCGTCAAGTGCTATCAGATGTGATGAAATTAGCCGTAAAATGATCGTCCCCCTGATTGATATTATTCTCCCCATCCTTACTCATATTTTCAATTACTCCATATCCTCTGGATCCTTTCCTCAAATCTGGAAGGAAGCTAATATCATTCCTCTTCCTAAAAAGAAGAACCCCTGTTCTCCTTCAGATTATCGACCTATATCTATCCTTCCATTCCTTTCAAAAGTTCTTGAACGTTTGGTATTTGCACAATTTAACCACTACCTAAATAAAAACTCCCTTCTTGACTCCTTTTAATCAGGGTTCAGACTTGGTCATAGTACTGTTACAGCTTTACTTAAAATCACTGATGATATTCGCTGGGGTATGGACCAACAGCAGCTCACTATTCTTACGTTGCTGGATTTCAGTAACGCTTTTAACACCGTCGATTTTGACGTATTGTTGAGTCTGCTACGTTCTATTAACATATCTCCAGCGGCAATTGAATGGTTTCAAAGCTATTTGCGTGGCCGCCGGCAGCGTGTTATGGTAGAGGGTGCTACATCTACGTGGTATGAACTAACTGCTGGTGTACCACAGGGTGGCGTGTTGTCTCCTCTCCTTTTTTCTGTATTTATTAATTCTATTACTTCACGAATTTCTTCTCTCTACCATTTGTATGCAGATGATCTCCAAATTTACTCCCATACATCACTCCAGAATCTTACCAATGCCATCAATGACACTAATACGAATCTGGCTGCAATACTTGATTGGAGCAGGTCGTTCGGGCTTAATTTAAATCCCAAAAAGACCCAAGCCATTATTGTTGGAAATAGCGCTCTAATCTCGAGAATTTCTTGGGATAACCTTCCACCTATTGTTGTTGATGGTGTTGTGATACCTTTTAGTAAATCTGTAAAAGACCTAGGATTATATATTGATCAGAATCTTTCTTGGTCCCTGCATATTAAGGAGTCCAGCAGAAAGATGTTTGCGGCAGCATCTTATTTAAGACGTTTGCGTAACTCGCTTCCCATTCTTATTAGAATTTTACTGGCACAGTCTTTGTTACTCCCTATCCTTGATTATGCTGATGCATGCTACTTCAATCTTACTGAGGATCAATTAAATAAACTTGAGCGTCTTCAGAATTTCGCTATCAGGTTCATATTTGGCCTTTGCAAATATGATCACGTTTCAGAGTACCGTATTAAACTCAAGTGGTTCCCTATCAGGCTTCGTCGGAATACTCATATTCTATCTCTACTGTACTGTGTACTATTTGATCCTAAAACACCGAGTTATCTTAAAGAAAAATTTGAGTTCATGGGCGCAAATAAAGATCATTCCAGAATAGCTGATAAACTTTTACTGCATATGCCTGCTCACAACTCAAAATTTTTTCATTCCTCCTTTTGTGTCAAAGCAATCAAATTATGGAACTCGCTTCCTTTAACAATTAAATAAGCCCAAAGCATTGAGTCTTTCAAAAATGTGGTTAAAGATTATTATTTAAATATGTGTTCTACTTAATATATTTTATTGTCATATCTACTTTTCCTGATAAGGTTTATGTATATGATATATAGTTATAATTTATTACAGAAATACTCGTATTTATAAAAGTGTATGTATTCTATGTATGTATATGTAGGTATATGTGTAGGGGTACTTCCATATATTGTCAATTGTCGGTTGTTTCTTGCGCGGGTTACATCTATGCGCAATTTTTAATCCAGTAACCGGTAAATAAGTGTTTTGATATGCGAAGACTATTGCAAAAGTGACATATACTGTTTATAGTCATTGTGATATAATAAACTTTGCAGTTAATTATGGATTTAAAGTGAAAATAACCATAAACCTCTTTTGTGCAGTGAGATATCAGTGACTGGCCGGTATTGTTTACTATAACGCGTAAGCGACAAGCTCCGCACGGCGCTTAAGCTCTTTTGGACGGGAAGTCTTGTTGGTTTAGTTAACGTTAGCTGTTGATGTTATTTACACTGTTTTACGTGCCTACTGTTTTAAATAATCTACCTCTCGTTTAAATAAATACAAAATACTATTATACTATGGATTGCAAAACATGTTACGTTGTTGTAAATGAGGAGGACTTAATTAATTGCTCTGCATGTCGTGGCTCATACCATTACGCATGCATAGGATTAAAAGAACTAGACTTTAAGAAAATGTTACCTATGAATAAAATTAAATGGAAGTGTCCATCGTGTAAATCCGGTAAAAAAAAGGATAATAAAAACAGCCCCAACACACCTCGTCTGGAATGCAGCTCATCGCAATCGCAATCTATGATAAACATTGATGCAAATGCCCTTATGGAACATTTTGACGGTAGGTTTAGTGCGTTGCAATCTGCCATCGACTCCCTGAAATCCGACGTTAACGACAAGTTAACAGGACTATCAGCTACTGTTAATTCATGGGAGACTAAAATGAATGGTTTTGCATCATTAATTGCTTTGATAAATGAACAGATTTCCGATCTTAAAGAGGAAAATGATAAATTGAAGCAAGATCTCGACCATATCCGATCAAAAGTGAGGGATATTTCTGACTGCATTGATCGCAATGACCAATGGGTTCGCCGTTCAAACATACAAATAAATGGGGTTCCTGAGAAAAAGGGTGAAAACCTTTTAAGCTTAGTGAAGTCCCTAGCGCAAAAATGTAATTTTATAATTAATATAGATAGTGATGTTGATTTCGTAACTCGTGTGGCGGTTAAGAATGATGCGGACAATAAAACACCGAAGCCGATTATTTTGAAAATGCATTCGAGATACAAAAAGGATGATTTTCTATCATTGTTACGTAAATTGAAGAACTGTACCGCTAGCGATATTGGTATTACTGGGTCACAGAGTGGCTATAAGATATTTTTCAACGACCATCTTTCGGCAAAAAATAAGCATCTTCTCAAACAAGCGAAGCGATTGGCGAAGGAGAAAGGCTACGTCTACTGCTGGGTTCGTAACTGTTCGATCATGGTGCGCCGCAGTGATCAATCGCCAATTATACACATCACGTCTGAACGCTCTTTAAACAAAATTGTATAAGTGCTATGGTTGTGTCATACTTTTCTTACTGCTTATTGTTTTTGACTATAAATGTAATTGATTTATTTTTTAAATTAAGTATTGTGTTCACTGGTTATCAACTTGCTTTTTATAAAACTACCACTGTAATATTGTTGCAAACTCAAATATTTTATTTTAATGTTGTAAGATTTTATCAAATTGCATTGGAGCCGGCTATAGACTTACACTTTGGGTTGTTTCTACTTTATTTGAACGTTCTATACTTAAGAAACTATTTAGTTAAACTTAACATTTTCAGTGTCAATTAACATATTCTATCAAAATGCAAGAGGTCTGCGGACGAAAGTTAAACAATTTTATAGTAATATTCTAAACTCAGATTATGATATTATATGCATAAGCGAAACTTGGTTGTTACCAGGAATCTATGATGCTGAGTTGTTTGACTCTCGGTATAACGTGTACCGTAACGATCGTGACTATGATAATTTAACTATTAAAAAAGGTGGTGGTACCATGATTGCTGTTCGCCGAGGGATAACTGTGAGTATGCAGGGACTACGCAAATTACCTTTTTTGTATGATGCTGACGTAACATGTGTTAATATTTTATTGAATCGGGCACCGATGACATCATTGCTGAGACTATTTTGTTGCTACTTCCCCCAAAATGATTATCAAGCGGCAGCGGAATTATCGTTTTATGAATATTTATCTGATCTTAAAATTGACTATCCTAATGATAAGTTTTTATTGGTAGGAGATTTTAACATAAGGGTTGCTAGATGGATCCCAAATCCACATTCTTCAGGTAGTAATTTGTATCTTGATAATCCATATGATAACATATTGACATCTCAACTGTTTGCGTTTTTATGCTTTAATGACTGGTCACAATATAATCATGTTAACAATATGAACGACAGACAGTTGGATTTGGTGATTTCCGATTTGAAGTGTATTGTACAAAGAGTCATGCCGTTGTCATCGCCGGAAGATGGCCACCATCCCTCTTTATGTATTGACTTAAGTATTGATTATACTCCAAGTCTGTGTCCAGCCAACCGGATAGTACGACGTATTTCATACCGCGGATTATAATAAAATTAACCAAGAACTATCAAATCTTGTTTGGGAAGACCATTTAAATCTAAACGATATTGATACTGCTGTTGATAACTTTTATAAAATTGTGCGTGATGTGATAAATAGGTTTGTCCCACTTAAAGTCGTTAAAAATAATAATAAATATCCAGTCTGGTTTAATAAGCGTCTAATTAAACTCATAAATAGAAAACTTAAACTTCATAAAAAATGGAAAATTTATGGTAGACAGTGTGATTATGACAACTTTTCAAATACACGGCGTGATATTAAAAAATATGAAGTTTTGTGCTATGAACGATTTATTAATCACGCTGAGAGAAATATTCAAGTTGACCCAAAATACTTTTGGTCGTTCGTTAAATCAAAGCAAAAAAGCTGTGATATACCTGATACTCTATACTTTGGTGATATATATGCATCAGATGGTCAGACAATTGTTGATCTATTTAACTCATTCTTTCATTCTGTATTTGAGCCACCTGGCAAGAATGTTATGAACTGTTATACGGAAAATAATAATTATATAATTAATTCTGTTTACATTGATAACGTTAAAGTCGAAAAATATTTGAAGAATCTCGACATCAATAAAGGTACTGGCCCAGATGGTATTCATCCAATCTTCCTCAGACAATGCAGTAAGCATTTAGCAGCTCCTCTTTCATTACTCTTTAATATTTCTTTGAGGCAAGGTGTGATGCCCTTGCTTTGGAAACAATCCATTGTTGTTCCCATATTTAACCCATATATGCCCAGAACTATTTTTGAATTCTGATTTTGATTATTTCAAGATATGTTTATGCTGATAAGTCCTTATATCAGTATTGACTAATTTTAGTAAAAAATATTTTTAGTAAGTAGGTATTTTAGGGGTGTTCGAAAACGAAACGACGGGCAAATATCCTACATTCATTATAGGTAATTAAAACAAAGATGTATAATGAGATTATTTATTACTTATTACTATTTTAAACTAAATTGCAATATGAAATTAAGAATGAAATACAGAGAAACATTTAGAATGTAAATTTACTTTACATTTTTGACAAAAAGTGACTGTAAGGCTTTTGCAATAGGCACATCGCAGTCTACTTGGTGCCCTGCCGATCATGTGCTCAGCGTTATGCTTTCGTACTGATGTAGGTACATTTGTAGATACCCGTTTGCTAGGTCCCGGATGTTGCTTATCATTGCCATATTTTTGAAGTAAGGTTCTGGCAATGCTACGTCTAAATTCCAGCGTATCTATATCTTTGGAGAAATTACGAGCTAGTAGGGTAGCATTGTTGACCGCAACGTCTATCAACCAGAAAAGTAACGGGATATACCATTTTTTGCCCCTAATTGCTATTCGATAGGTACCAATGTTTGCATCTAACCGATCAACCCCTCCCATAAAACGATTGTATTGGTGCACAACGTTGGGTTGTGGTACATTTACTCTTTGCTTTTGAGCAGCTGAGTATCTCCTTGCAGTTTGTATAGGCTCCACGCCGTATTCACTGGATAACAGAGTGACTACACTATTATCGTTCCAGCGCACTGCACAGATGCCGCTGTTTAGATCGAGCCGGCTGTCATGGTAACCTCGCTGTTCCTTCTTACATAATTTTTCATCTTTCAAAGGACACTTGTCAGTGCGATTACTACGTACTGTACCTGTCACTAAAATATTTTTTTCTTTCATTGCTGTTATCAACGGTAATCCTGTGAAGAAGTTGTCGCAGAAAACTGAGAATCTTGTTTCTTTGTAGACATTCTGAATCTCGGTCATCAATTTTTGCACAACATATTGTCCTAACCCGGTACTAAAAGTTTCATAGCGGCCTTGATATGGGTCGGCGTATAAGCAATATCCTAAGGGCAAGGCTGCAATCCATGTTTTGAAGCCAAATCTAATAGGCTTACCTCTGATATGCTGCTTACATCCGTGTCTACCATAGTAAGGTATCATAGACTCGTCTATGCTGATGTTCTTTTCGATTACGGCATATTGCAGAAACTTTTTATTGAGTAAATCAAAAAGTGGGCGGACTTTAGCCATTTTGTCATTAGGGCAAAGGTTGATATTATCGACCACATGGAAATGCCGAAGAATTTCTTCGAATCGGTTTCTTCGCATGGATTTCGCCACTAAGATATTGTGTGTGTCTTCGTTACTTTCCCAATACATCCGACGTCGCGGCAGTGGAGAATATCCGGTCAATATCAAAATGCCGATGAAACAATAAATGTCATTATCAGAAAGGGTAAACCCTGGGTTTCCTTTTTGAACTGCATAAATAACAGAGTGACGAACAATGTGCATGATAACTTCGTGACTAAAAAACAATTCAAAGAAATCAACTGGTTCTGAAGCTTCGGATAAGGTAATTACTGATCTAGGTAATGGTGCAATCCACTCATCATGAAGTTGGGATAAGTCTCGTTTTACCCATTTTCGGACTACCTTAGGCGATCGAGGTGGCGGTGGAGGTGGAAAAGGAGGATTATCTATCAATGACCGGCTCCGCCTACGGTTTGATAAAGACTGTGAGTCAGTCACAGTACGTGACGTAATTGGGCCTAAAGCTTCTTCTTCAGACTCGCTGCCGTCACTGACGTTTTTTCCATGTAGTGTCAGTTCAGCAGGTGCCAAAAGTTGACCACGTGATAAATTTTCAAAACTTACGTTTCTTTCGTCCCCCGAGTCCGAATCTGACACAAGTCCATCACCCGGAGGGTCGATATAAATGTCAGCTGCTGTTGCTTCATCATCCGAAGCTAAATCATTGATAATATCAACGATTTCATTTGTAGTTAACCACGTATTCCACCTAAAACATAAAAACAGATTTAGTAAAAGTCTCACCTGTATATTTGCCCAACGTATCGTTTTCGAAACACGAAAGTTATAAAGACGTTATAGGTATTTATTAAATAGTATTTACTTATTTTAAAAATACGAATAAGATCATTATTTACCTAAAATTACTACAAAATTTTGAAAAGTACAAAGTTTCACTCAATTGAACAAGTACTTACTTCTTTTTGGGAGACGACATGATTTTTGCGCGACGTAAAACAGGACACAACTTGCACTACTGACTATTTAAATCAAGTGTCAACGCTACTCAAAACGCTTCGTTGCAAACAAAAGGTAGTTCCGTAGCCTTGCACTAGATGGCAATTTTTTGCATTTTACTGCGCTAGCAAAGGATTTCCAATGGATTTACGAAAGTACAAAATCTTGTTTCGTTTTCGAATCACGGGGCATATATGGGTTAAGAGCGGAGACAAACACAATATAGCTAACTACCGTGGTATCTCCAAACTATCTGTTATACCCAAGCTATTTGAAAAAATTATATACGACTCTTTATTTCCTGTAATTAAACCGCAAATAGTTTCAAGTCAGCACGGTTTCATCCCTGGTAGATCCACAGAAACTAACTTATGCGAGTTTCAGGATGAAACATTGGAGGCCATGGAAAGAGGCTATCAGGTTGACGCCGTGTATACCGATTTTTCAAAAGCGTTCGATAAAATTTCCCACAATCTAATGATTGCTAAACTTGTAAACGTCGGTATACACGGCGATCTCTTGAGATGGCTAACCTCATATCTGCGTGATAGGTCTCAGGCAGTAGCTGTGAAGGGCTATACCTCGAGCTTTGTTCCGATCACTTCTGGTGTGCCTCAGGGTTCTCATCTCGGTCCTCTTCTTTTTAATATATTTATAAATGGTGTCATGCGTAGCATTCAACATTCAAAAGCATTACTATACGCTGATGATACTAAAATATTTACCTTCGTTAAGAATTTAGAACATGCTTTACTATTTCAAAAAGATTTAAACAATTTTTATGAATATTGTTCGGCTAATAATCTAAAATTAAATATTGATAAATGTTATACTATATCTTATTCCCGAAAAAAACGACCGATTGTTTACAATTATAAATTAAATAACATTTTGATTAAAAGAGTGACCGAGGTGAGGGACCTGGGGGTATATCTAGATAGTAAACTAGACTTTGCGTCTCATATTGACAAGGCTACTGCCAAGGCTTATAGAATGTTAGGTTTTGTCTTCCGACAATGCAAGGACTTCAAAAACATAAACACTTATATTATGCTGTATAATTCTTTAGTAAGAAGTCATCTTGAATACGCATCTACGGTGTGGAACCCTATTTACGCTACTTATGTGGAACAAGTAGAAAGGATTCAAAATAAGTTTCTGAAAAGACTTAATTACAAATTTAAGGATCATTCTGCGCTTCATCATTCATTAGAATTACGACGTGAACATAGAGATCAGGTGTTTCTGTTTAAACTTTTACATAACTATATAGATTCCCCCTTCCTTCTAAGTCGTATTACATTTAGATGCCCTAGGTTGAGTGCTCGCTCCAATGCAGTTTTCTCTACTCCTTTTTGCAGAACTAAGTATTCGAAAAACCGGTTTCTGGTTCGCGCTTGCAATACACATAATGAGCGTTATAACCATATTGACATATTTAACTGCAAATTAAATAGTTATGTTACATCTATTAGACAAGTTGATCACGCTTAGGTAGTGTTTGTACTTCTTGTCCTCTATCTGAATATAAAATTACCTTTACTAACATTGGTATTATGTATGCAGTAATTATATTTTTCTCTTTGGCAAAACAGAAATATGTACTTCATTTAATTATGTTTAAAGTTTTCGCAATGTAAATCTTAACGTTGGAAACTGTTTTTGGCTAATGTATTGTTAACATTCATCTTAAATTCAAATGTGATATAAAAGCTGTAAGTTTATTTTAATAAATAAATAAAAAAAAATATGTATGTGTGTATGTATATATTTATGTGTATAGGTATATATAATATTATTTTTAATATATGCTTGTTTATCTACTATTTATGCACACTTCTATATATTTAAATGAAAATTATCTCCTTCACCAAGGTTTGCCTGGAAGACATCGCTGTTTAGCGATAAGGCCACCTAATTGTACATTCGTTGATAAATTTAAGTTTGCTATGTCGTGTAGTGTTTTATGTGCAATAAAGAGTATAAATAAAATAAAAATAAAAATAAATAAATAATTTTATGTACATTTAAAGTATTTAGATTATCAATATATTTTAATAATTGATTTTTGTTTACATTGCCTCTTCTCCCAATAAGAATTATTAATGTGCTATTAGGACAAAATTTACTAGCTAAAACTTTATTCATTATATGACTAAAGGATGCTCCAGACATGCAATAATTAGTGATCATATGTCCTTTTAACATCATGCCCAAATTTTTGCCTATGTCATCACAATACATAATAACTTTATTTTTTTTAATATTTACATTGCTTTTTAAGTTTATATCCTTTGTCATGGCACTGTCATAGAGTGTAGGTGAAAATAATGAGGTCTTACTGTTAACTTTGTTATTTACACATATTGTCCCCGATGAACCTGATATGGAGCGCTGATACTCACTCTGATTTTTTATTAAGGAGTCAAAGCGCTCCTCATTATATTCACATGATTTAATCAGATCATTCATGGCCAATATGTGTTCTTTTATCTCATGTTGAGCCGATGCATATTTATTTGATACAATTTCTAGAGAGCTTTTAAGTGATAAAATTGTTGAATTTAGACACTATATCAGTCTCATAACAGTGATTCATATTTTCCACCTCAATTGATTATATTTTAAGTTTATTAATTAGTTCTTGCTTATACTGACATTACTGCCTATTGACATTGACTGGATTTGTTATTTTAAAATTGTTATTTTGTATTGACATTGATTTATTTATTGCAAAAATTTTGGAGACTGATTTTAAATTCATTGATTTTACTGGATATGGGTGTAATTTGCCTGAATAAAGATGATGATGATTATTATTATTATTATTAGTAAAAAGTGTGATATTAATATTAAATCGCGATATTTACCGTCATGCCTTTTAGAAAAATAGAAAGTTTCGATTTATCGTCTCGGAAATGGTCAGTTTACGTAAATCGTGTCAAGCAATTTATCGCCTTGAATGAAATTAAAAAATCATTGTACGTGGCCTAATTAATGACCGTCGTGGGCGAAGCCACATATGATTTGATGTGCGACTTATGGTGCTCCGAATAAGCCAGAAGAAAAATGTTTCGATGAATAAATCGACATCGTTCAACAACATCTAGAACCCAGGCGTTCTGATATTGCGGAAAGACACATTTTTAGGCAGAGGCGGCAGAAAATAGGCGAAGATTTCGGTTCATATCTACATCATTTAAAATACCTCGCAAGTACGTGTAAATTCGCTGAAAAATTAGAGGAGAATCTAAGAGATCAATTCGTCTCCGGCCTTGCGAGTGACGAAATGAGAAGTCGTCTCTTTGCGGAAAAGGAACTAGAATATAAGCGAGTGGAAGCTGGCGCTAGCGTTGGAGACAGCGGAGCGGCACGCCGTGTAACAGCGGCGGGCGGCGGCGGCACGGGGCCGCTCGGCGCAGGCAGCGTGGACAGGATCGGTGCACAGGCAGCTGCTGGCGCTGCTCGCGTGCAGTATTCGCGACAACAAGTCTGCTGGCGGTGTAGACGGCCGCATTCGGTGGATAGGTGTCGTTTTAAGCAGTTCAGTTGTGATGAGTGCGGTATTAAAGGCCATTTGCGGGCCATGTGTAAAAGCTTGCGTAGTGATCGCTCGTCGGGCAAAGTGCAGAAACGTAACCAGTTTTTCTTGGAAACTGATTCAGATTCTGGAGACAGTGATTTCTTTAACATGTGTGTCGACGGAGCTAAAAACAAACCGTATGTAATTCAACTCTATGTACAAAATGTGCCACTAGTATTTGAAATCGATACAGGTAGTAAAATATCAGCAATAAATGCACATATTTAAAAAAAATATTTTCGTGACTTTGAAATTTCAAGTTACAATCTAAAGTTGAGATCTTATACCGGTGACTCTATCAAACAGTTGGGTTTTATCACTACATCCGCGTATTATTATAACTCTGATAACGAGCTACGGGAGGCGGATGCACTTCCATTATTCACAATACCGGGTGGTGGTCCTTGTTATGTCATAGGATACTATTTACTTTATATTATAAGTCATGTACACTTTATACTGTTTATTTGATAAATTACTATCTTAGAAGCCAAATTCATATTATGTCATAGGATACTATTTACTTTATATCATAAGACCTGTATAGTTTATATTGTTTATTTACTTAAAAGCTATATTACTTTCTTAGAAGCCAAACGAATTTTATGTCATAGGATACTATTTACTTTATGTTATAAGACCTGTATAGTTTATATTGTTTATTTACTTAAAAGCTAAATTACTTTCTTAGAATCCAAATGAATGTTATGTCGTAGGATACTATTTACTTTGCCGGAGGCTCTACGCGGGGATTGTGCGGTCCATGGCCCTTTACGGGGCCCCGGTGTGGGCGCGTGGTTTGGCGCGGCTTGCCGTCCACCACCTGCACGCTTCCCAAAAGGTGGTTGCCGTAAGAATGGTTCGCGGCTACCGCACGATCTCCCGCGAGGCAGCGTGCCTCCTTGCCGGATTGCCGCCATGAGATCAGGAGGCGATAGTCCTCGCGCGCCTGCACGAATGGCGCGCGGAGGCACTATGCCGGGGGGAAACCCCGCTGCCGCGGCAAGTTGTCGTGCAGCGGACAGACTTCCGGCATGATCTCATGGCGACATGGAGAGAGCGACTGTCGCAACACCGTGCTGGACACGCCACTATAGCGGCGATAAGACCCCTCTTTGAGGAGTGGCTTGAGAGACGCCACGGCGTCCTCACCTTTCGCCTGACGCAGGTCCTCACCGGACACGGTGTGTTCGGGAGGGTCCTGCACCGAATCGGGCGGGAGGAAACGCCCGGGTGCTCCCACTGCGAGGATCGACCGGAGGACACGGTGGAGCACACCGTGGAGGTGTGCCCTGCCTGGGCGGAGCACCGCCGTGTCCTCGTAGCGGCGATAGGCGGCGGCGACCTCTCGCGTCCGGCCCTGGTCGAAGCCATGGTCCGGAGCGAGACGGAATGGGATGCCGTCACCACGTTCTGCGAAGCAGTGATGCTAGCGAAGGAGGTGGCGGAGCGGGAGAAGGAGAGAGCAGCAGCTTTCCTTCCCGGCCGCCGCGGGAGACGCCCCGGGCGTCGGGGGCTACGTCGTGGCCCCCGGCCACCGTAGGCGCGGGCCTGTGGACGGCGAGCAATGGGTAGCTCGCCGTCCGTCCGTCTAACGACGACAGGCCGTGTCGACGGCGCGTTTTGTTCCACGCGCGCCTCAAAGAGCTGTCAGCAGCGTGAAGGGGCCCGCAAGGGCCGACGCCTGCCGGGGCTGCGGGCTGTTCGAAAGAGATACCGCGGCTCCGGAACGTAAGGGCACTGAAGGAACACGGATGGTTTTTAGTCAGTAAAAGTCTGTCACTCCCTTCCGCTCCACCCAGAGCGAAAGGCGTCATTTGATGATTTTTCATCCGCAAAAAAAAAAGGATACTATTTACTTTATATTATAAGTCATGTACACTTTATACTGTTTATTTGATAAATTACTATCTTAGAAGCCAAATTCATATTATGTCATAGGATACTATTTACTTTATATCATAAGACCTGTATAGTTTATATTGTTTATTTACTTAAAAGCTATATTACTTTCTTAGAATCCAAACGAATGTTATGTCATAGGATACTATTTACTTTATGTAATAAGACCTGTATACTTTATAAATCATATTGTTTACTTCCTTAGAAGCCACACTAGTTCGATAGTAATATTATATGCTAATGTTTATAGTTTACCATAAGTTAAGCATAACACCAAGAGCAATGTTGTTCCCTTATGTTTACCCCCACCTTCTAGCTTCCTATACTATTTAAACCAAATCTTCCGACCCCTCAATATAATTCCATTACCAAGTTCTCTGTATCACCTACTATATTTTAAGTTAGTTCAAAAGTATTAAATAAATTTATTTTTAAAACAGTTTTTGTCTCTGCCATATAAAAAATTTGGTGCAGTCGGTAGGATCTTGCGTGATTCGTTCGCTTAAATCGCTTGAAGACGAATTCGACGGGACAGCATCGCCCAACAATAATACAACGTACTGTAGCTGTAGGCTTTTGAAGAACTTCACCGACACATGCAGCTCCACATTTTATTGTTACTGTGGTATGTGGCTAAACTTGTTTGTTCGAATTACTATTTTTCCATTTTTACCAAAATATTTTTCCACATCTACCACAGCATTCACATTCATTTTTTTAATATAATCAAATAATTCTATTATATACTTCTATATTATACTATTCTATTATATCAATTATTCATTGCCTGTGTAAATCAATCTCAAAAGAACCCTGAGATGACCTTAGACATCACTACATTACTTAAATTAATTCCCTCATTCGACACAGATAATAAAGACCAATTGTACAGATTCGTTAGGTCATGCAAATCAGCTTTCGACTTAAGTTCAGCTGACCAGAAGTCAGTTCTTTTAGTATACGCGTTAAACAATATCATTGGTTCGGGTGCGGCAGACGTTCACAGTAAAGAACATGCCTCATGGACCGGTTTAAGAACATTCCTTATTCAAAAATTCTGTAACGTTAAAACCATAGCACGCCTTAAGCTTGAACTGCAATCCATGTTCCAAAAACCTACAGAAACTTTAACCGAATATTTGCATAGTCGACCTTAGTCGCTCTAAAATAATTGAAAAATTAAACGGTGAAATATGCGATAAGACTTTATTAGGTCGCTTAGCGACAACGGAGGAAACGGCTCTTAACGTTTTTATTAATGGC